GCCTCCACTGCCGCCACCAACCCCTCCACCCCCACCTCCACTCCCACCGCCACCCCCACTCCCCCCACTACTGCCACCTCCACCTCCACCGCCCCCGCTCGCTCCTCCAGCGCCCTTGCCCCCCTTGCCCTTGCCAGGGCGGCGTCTCCCGCTAGGGGCAGACGCCGCACCGACCGACTCAAGACCAAGGAGGTCGGCCGCAGCAGCACAGGCAACAGAGGGCAGAAGGGGGGAGGGGGAACACCCCTCAAAGATGGGGGTGCGCGGGTCACCTCGAGAGGCTCCTACAGCGACTATGCTCTTCTCTATCGCTAGGAGGGCCTTCTCGAGGAGGTCGACAGTGAGAGTGGTGGGACAGACAGAGGGGAAGTGGTCCCTGACTACACGAAGGGAGTCAGGGAGGCGAGTGACTATGTAGTAAAGAGTGATGTACATGGGGGGGGGGGGTTCTTGGCGCAGAAGTCAGCAGGAAGTGCAGCGCGGTAGCGAGTGTCACTAGTGCGGAGGTGCGTAATGAGGTCAGCTACTGTGGGAAAGGCAGCAAGGTCAGGAAAGAGGTACGGTAGCATGAGACGGCTCAGTGCAGCAGTGGCAGGGGAGGAGTAGCGCGCAACTACAGCGTCGTACAAGGTCTGAGCACTCTTGTACTGACTAAAGTGCGCACGCTCGGAGGTAGGGAGGTGGCGACGCACAGCAAGACATGCAGCAGCGTCGCGCGTGGCCCACTGGGAGCAAACAGTGGCGTCAGCATCAGCAGTAGGGGCAGGGGAAGCGCCAGAGGTGAGGTCAAAGAGAGAGAGGCCGTCTGCCCTATCGCACTGTAAGAACAGCTGCAGGTCATCTACCCAGACCTCAAAGTCAATGGCCCTACCCTCAGCGTCAAAGCCAAGGACACTAGGGGTAGCCATGACCCTAGACGACTAGTAGTGCAAACAGTAGGGTGGGGGCAGTGCAGTGACAAAGGGGCTGTGCTCACCAGACTGGGCAGGTTGGGCGGCCCGGAAGTAGGGCGGCTCGGCTGCTCGACGGTTTGGCTGCTGGGCGGCTTGGCGGCTCGGCGGCTCTACTGTTGGGCGGCTCGGCTGCTGGGCGGCTCGGCTGCTGGGCGGCTCGGCTGCTGGGCGGCTCGGCTGCTGGGCGGCTCGGCTGCTCTGCTGTCGGGCGGCTCGGTTGTGCAGCAGGTGACGGGGCCGAGAGCGAGGCGGCGGGGCCGCAGGTAGGTTGGCGGGGCCGCTGAGTGAGGCGGCGGGGCCGAGAATGAGGCGGCGGGGCCGCAGGAAGAGTGGCTGGGCCGCTGGTAGGGCGGCGGGGCCACAGGTAGGGTAGGGCGGCGGAGCCACGGGTAGGGTGGCGGGGCCGCAGGTAAGGCGGCAGAGCCGCGGGTAGGGGCGGCACGTGACGCCGCAAAGGGCGGCGACGGGCCGGTACGGGCGGCGACGGGCCGGGCGGGGACGGGCCTCGATAGGCGGTGCACGGGCCGGTATGGGCGGCGACGGGCGGGGACAGGCGGCGCACGGGCGGCAAAGAGTCGGGACAGGCGGCGACGGGCCGGGGCGGGCACCGCACGGGCGGCGACGGGTCGGGACAGGCGGCGACGGGCCGGGGCGGGCACCGCACGGGCGGCGACGGGCCGGGATAGCGTCGCGGGGCCGGGGCGGGCGGCGCACGGGCGTCGACGGGCCGTGACGAGGCGGCTAAAGGGCGGCGCCGGGCCGCGTAGGGTGGCGACGGGCCGCTGAGGGCGGCGAGGAAGGTCGCTAGGGGCGACGAGACGGGGCCGAAAGAGGCCTAAGCGAGGCGCGCTCCGGGCAGGAAAAAAAAATGTTCGATTTTGGTGGGCCCTATGAACAGTTCCCACGAGGGAACCTGCTCGATACCATGATAAGAAACGAGAATGAATGAACTATGAATGAAGTGAGTACAAGTACTAACCCTAATTGGGTTGTACCCCCTAAGGGATACCCCACTATAGCCTACACAACATGCATAAGCTATAATGTTCTGACAAAATCAGCCCTGGATGTTACGCTAGATCACCATAAATGTGCCATTTTGACCAATGAGAAGCCACACCCGGATTGAATCGCGAAATACGCACATCCGCGGTCCTATCCATGATACAAAAAGATGCTGAAACACCGACAACAACTAAGCAATCAAATACACTTAGAAAAAATATGTCCATATGATAAGACACGGGTACTATACATTTCTAAGCCTTTGATAAGACCCCCCCTTTTTTTCTCCGAATTTCCCATAAGACCCTAGGGTCTTATATCCGGGAGAATACGGTATTGTACAGAAAGGGCTCCCTCACATGGGGAAATCATGATTACGCACATGGGGGGTTATCGAGAAGAAATTTCAGGGAAACTTCGTCTCGATACCCTTGCATGCAGGGTCCACAGATCGCGTACTCTACATTGACAGGGTCAGTAAGAACACTACTCTGAGCCTAGATACAATATTTCAGGGTTCGCTAAAGCACTATTCTGAATGGATCAGTGTTCACAAGTCAGAAATTCTGAAATTACAGGGACCACCAGGTGAGAAGCCTGTAATCACTATGAAATCAGGGCCATTACCCTCATAAAATCAGCTCTGTCTACGTGTTCCTTGTTGATAGGCGATCAAAATGGTTAAAGGACTACTGCTTGTAACGAGGTGGAACATGGACATTGCAAATCTCGAAGTTGCAGAAATCCATGGCGTCCTTGGTATTGTCATTGTCATTGAGCTTCCTCTAAATCATTTTCATTGTTATCTAAAAAACTTAGAGAATGGAATGTACACATTTGGTAAGCTATAAAGCATAGCTAAAATAATGAAAACCGGTTTGGCATATTGTAACGAAAACCTCTTTTTCCTTACTTCGCGTCCCTGCTTAACGCGTACATCACTGTAGCGCCACAGTCAGCACCGTTACCACTCGCAATCCTCGCATCGACAATCCGCCCGCCACCTTCGCACGTCGCACCCCGACCTCACGGCTCGGCGGGTAACCCGCGCTCCGGGCCTCCGCTTCGACACTTTTCCCAACCTCAGTCCCAGGCCCGTCGCGCGACAACCACAGTCCATTACCGTTACCACTGTAGTTTCGCTATTTATTCTTCGCTCATACCTTCGCTCATTGTACTCTTGTTTAGATGGTGCAATTCTCGTTCGTTCACTCAATTGCACTCGTAACACATATCATCTGGTTGTGCTAGAAACAGCCCCTTCCAGCAGGAAGGAGTAGAGGCGGCTTCTGTTTCAACTTTGCAAAAACGACGCGATCTTGAATACTGTGCGGGACGACCAGTGCACAGTGCGTACCACACTCATGTGAAGTTTGTTTCCTTCCGCACCCCAGCTGTCAATGTCGCTGTCTTCACGCGAAACGAACTTAAAGTGCGATTGGTGCTCGTCATCCCCCACTTCCGCTTCAGCCAATTCCGTCCACCCTGATCGCCACGTGCAGTAACAGACTGAGCCAAATGGATGGACAACGAAATGCCGCGGAGGCGGGCGTGCAGCGTGCGCAAGTGGTGGCTGTGAGTGTGAAATGGGGGCGGGAGGGGGGAAGGAGGTAAGGAGAAGGGAGGAGGGGGAGGGGAGGAGAGAGGGGAGGGGAGGGGGAGAGGAGCATAACAGTAGTGTGGACACGGAATCTTCGATACAGTATTTCTGAATGGGAGTGAAATTTCGAAAGCTCGTGGTCCATTTGATCCGAATACATTTCAGGGGTGCGAAGACAATGCATGCGGATGTTTTGAGGCAAATACCAGAAGCCTTTTGGGAGGTTTAATTTGTCAGAATAGGTGACAGGAACACTGACTTTTCATCAGCGACTTCTAAAAAAACATTAAATTAAAAGCGTAAAAGCACCTCGGGAAGACAGAAAAAACGCTTCCAGCAAATTCTTCTCAGAAATGCCGTAAAGGACCCGTTTCGTGTGCTGTGGGAGTCGCGACCAAGTGTGACACATATTTTTTTAAAGAAGGGAAAGAAAGACATAAATGCAGGAGAAAGGAAATGAAGAAAGAAAGGGAGAAGGAAAGTGAGAAGGAAAGGGAGTTGTCAGTGTACCCGCTATTGCCTCTAATCCGCTGATGCACTGAGAATGAATCGTGGTATTGCCCTCCTCCTGGGCTTGAGTTGGGCTGTGCAGGGCAAAGTAGGTTTCCCTTCCCACCCACCCACACACCGACACCATCCCCGCAAAGCCGGCAAGCCAGGCTTCCTAGAAGGAGTTGGGGAAGGGACCATTTTGTTGGTTTCATCCAGATCCGCCACTGCTCCGAGGTTGCCCAGTCAAGGTTTCAAGTCTTTCCGAGCACCAACAACCACTGCAGGTGAACAGATGGATGGGTTCAGTCAGCAGCTCAAAATCATGGGAGTCGAGGCGAGTAGCAAGCGGCTCACTGAAGATTGCCACTTGCACGTCGCTGGTACGACGCAATCTAGAAAACATGGATGCGCAGCACACCAACTCGCTAGGTGTGAATGCTTCCCTAGCGTCCACCTATCTTGCATACTCATTCGAAAATCCTGCTCTCGATCTCGCTTCCTTCCTCCCCGCCGCTCCCGCTCGCTCCTCGCGAACGAGCTCCGCCGCCGTTTGTAGGCTGTGTTACGGTCCCTCCCTCACGCTCCTAATCCTCGCGCATTCCTATGAGCTCTTCTGAGCATATCCTGGAATAAGCCTGCACGTGAAAGGTGAGAATTCTTGTAAGTGGGCACACACAAAGGAAGGGGAATCATTGACACGTGGCAAGAAAATGACAGATATGACAAACCGTGTGAGATCGCACTACTCGTCAGAAGGGAGTGACGGAGGACTTAGTGAATCAAGCTGTTGGGACCAAGAGAAACTCACAGATGGACGGAAGGAGAGAAAGGGAGGGTGCAGGTGAAGGTAGGGGAAAGAAAGCGAGGGCAGGCGAGGGGTTTGTCGAGATAAACGAACGCGGAAAGAGTATTAGCAGTACTTTCTGAAAGAGGAAACGAGAACCCTATTCATGCCTCCGTTGCTGCGTGTTTCTAGAAGTATCAGCTGCTCTCGCCTTTTCCTTCCATCCTCGGCTCAACCTCCTCCTGCCAGGCGTGCTGCTGGCGAGTGCCGCCGCAGGTCGCCGCGGTGGGTGGTAAAAGGGAGAGCGAGGGGCGCACGCAGTCACGTACTACACCTTACCCCTTCCCCGGCTTCGACCAAAAGATTGCTCCTCACTTGCTCCCGCTTCTGTCAGGGATATAAATGGATTGTACACAAATCTAAGGTTACCACTACACCTACAGTTCTGTATGAGAGCCAAGGGTAGCTTTTTTGCTGTCAAGGCGAACAGTGGTTTGACCGTGGCCATAAAACATCACCATTGCTCTTGTGGGATGTGTCTGGCGTGTTGTGGAATGGGCGGTTCAGTGTGCATCAGGTGTACCTGTCCCTCATGCCGTGTTGCCTTTTGTCGCAGCCATCGTCCTCCCACATCAGCGCCATGGATGCATCATCTGGTGCAGCATCAGCAGCAGCCGGCATCGCCTCCTTCCCACCGCAAGAGGCTGCAGCCATGCAGCCCAGCGCCATGCAGCCCAGCGCCATGCAGCCCAGCGCCATGCCTCCTGCCTACCACTTCCTCTACTCGCAACTAGCCGCTGCCGCTGCCGCCCAGCAAGGCGGCGCAGCCCCATCAGCAGCTCCATCAGCCACAGCTGCCACGCCCAGCGCCTGCCACGTGTCGCCCTCGCACGCCGTGCACGCGCCTCACTTCCCCTCCAACGCGCTCGCTACCGACGGCCTCCCGCGCTTCGACTTCACCCCGCCGCCCAACGTGCCTTCGGCCCCAGCGCCCCAGCCCACAGCCACGCGCCCACAGGGGACTGCTGCCTTCCATGCCTCCTCCTCGCAGCACGCAGCACGCCAGGCGCCGGACGGCGGCAGCGAGCGGAGCGGCAGCACGGGTGCAGGCCACGAGCCTGCGCTGGCGCGGCGCACCACCACAAGCCTGTCCCTCGCCGCCGGCTTGGACCTGCCCTCGCCTGCTGGAGTAGCACCTGGGCCCAGCGGCGAGTGGCGGCAGGCGGAGATGGCTCAGGGGGAGGCATTTGTTGGCGTGCAAGGCAATGCAAACTCCGCTTACCTCACAGGCAGGTTGGGAAGGAGAGGATAGGGAACCGACCGACACGTTTCAGATGGCACGTTGCCCTTTGGGCGTTCGCTCCAACATTGTAGCTGCAACCGTCTCCCTTTTCTGCTGTCTCCTCTTTTTTCTGAGAGCCCCGCTCCCCCTTCTCCCTGCCTCCTTGTGCGTCCATGACCGCAGATCTGCTGCAGCAGGCGCAGGCGCAGCTGGCGGACCTGGACCAATCGGCGGGCGCCAACCTGCGCCTGCTGGGCCTCACCCTGCCCTCCGCGCATTCCTCCCTGCCGGACCAACTCCCCCCCCCAACACCGCCCCCCTCTGCTCCTTTCCACGCCCAAGCTTCAGCCCAGCAACAGCAGCAGCAGGCGTCGCCCCAGTCGCCCCAGCTGCCGCTGCAGGTGTTGATGCAGCTGCACGGTCTCATGCACGGCCCTGCCGCCTCTGCCCACCCCTCCGCCGGCCCACTTTCTGCCCAGCAGCAGTCCCCAGCGCAGGTAGCGCAGGCGCTGGCTCTGGCGCTGGGGGCAGGCGGAGAGGGGGACCTTCAGGCGCAGGGCGGCATGCATGGGGGACTGGAGCTGGGCGCGGGCATGATGGGGGGAAGCAGCTCTGCGCCTGGCACTGGCGCTGGGACAGGGGGGGGCAATGAAGGCCTGATGGGGTCGGGCATGGTTGGCATGGACGGTGGGGTGGGCAGCAGTGCAGGGGGGGGAGTCAGCAGCCACATGCGGCAGGGGCTGCTGGGGGGCGCAGCAAGCAGTGGCGGGGCAGTGGGGGGGGGACGGGGGATGGGAGGGTTTGGGGGAATGGGTGAGGGGGTGGGGAGTGGCGGGTGTGGGCAGGGCGAGGCGCAGCTGTTCCCCCAGCAGTGGATGGCGGGAGGGGGCGTGCACACACCCATGGCAGCGGTGCAAGGGGGGGCGGCACGCAGCAACGGTGGCGTGGTAAGTCACTCACCCCACACCACACATACACACCTCACATACACCCCTCCCTCCCCACCCCCCTCCACACACCCCGCACATACACCCCGTTCATACACCTTGTCCTTCTGCTCCTGCACCCTTCCCCCCCCCCCTCCTCCCCCGTTCTCTCCCTCTCACCCCACCCCTCCACTTTTCCTTCATCTCCACTTCTTCCTTCTTCCTCCGCTTTTCCTTCTTCCGCTGCTTTTCCTTCTTCCCCTTGCATTTCCCTCGTCCTCTGTTTGTCCTCTGTCCTCCGCTTTTCCTTGTTCCTCCAATTCTCCTTCTTCCTCTGCCTTCCGCTCTTCCTCTGCTTTTCCTTATTCCTCTCATCCACCCCGTGTCCCCCCCACCCGCTCTCAGTCCCCATCATCCGCCCTCTCACCCCAGTCCGCCCCACCGTCCTCCGCGCCCCTCCTCTCGCCGCATGCGCCTCTGATCAGCCCAAGGCGCGCGCAGCATCGGTCGCTGGGGGCGCCTGGCGCAGCAGGCGCAGGGGGCGAGGCGGGTGGGGGGGTGCTGGGCAGGAGGGAAGCGGGCATGGGGGGCGCGGGTGTGGGCGGGGGGGCGGGGGGGAAGCGGCGGCTGGTGGAGGCGGCGGATGGCGTGCTCTGCAAGGTGCGCGCCAAGCGCGGCCAGGCCACCCACCCGCGCTCCATCGCTGAACGGGTGAGAGTGGGGGGGGGGTGGAGGGGGTGGGTGGGGGGCGGGCAGGGGTGGGTGGGGCGGGGGTTGCTGGTGGGGGGTGCTGATGGGGAGGCGTGGAATGAGGGAAAAGTTGCATTTGCATCTCCGACCTTGCCCTGCCCTGGGACTCCAGCACTCCAACTTCTCCGCTATTTGCACATTGCAAACTGATCTGCACCGCGTTGCACCCATGGCAGGTGCGGCGATCGCGCATCAGCGACAAGATGAAGCTCCTGGCCGACCTCATTCCCGGCATGGACCGCCAGGTGCGACCTCATTCCCGGCATGGACCGCCAGGTGCGACCTCATTCCCGGCATGGACCGCCAGGTGCGACCTCATTCCCGGCATGGACCGCCAGGTGCGACCTCATTCCCGGCATGGACCGCCAGGTGCGACCTCATTCCCGGCATGGACCGCCAGGTGCGACCTCATTCCCGGCATGGACCGCCAGGTGCGACCTCATTCCCGGCATGGACCGCCAGGTGCGACCTCATTCCCGGCATGGACCGCCAGGTGCGTGGAGGTATGGACAGACAGGTGCGTGGGGGCATGGGCAGGCAGGTGCGTGGGGGCATGGGCAGGCAGGTGCGTGGGGGCATGCAAAGGCAGGTGAAGAGTGGGGCAAGGAGGAGGTGGAGTGGTAAGGGCGACCTGCAGCAGCAGCAGGTGAGGAGTGGTGTGGTGTGCGCAAGAGAAACAGTCACAAGTGGTGTACATTGTGTGAGGGGACGGCAAGCAGTGCAGCTATGGCACTGGGGGCGACCCTGGCTCATTCCCACTGTGAGTAAATGCTGCCCCCTATGCCCCTGTGCGGTCCTCTGTGCCCCTCTTTTCCATGTGTTGGTTTTCGGAGCCTCTCCCCCTACTACATCATGCCAATGCATCTCCCTCTCCCTTCTGTGCTGCGTCTGTGTATGGAATGAGTATGTGTATGGTATGGGTGTGTGCATGGAATGAATTTGTGCGTGGAATGAGTGTGTGCATGTGTGCCTGCAAGGTTGCACGTGTGCATGTGAGCTTGCCTGCTCGTGTGTGTGCATAGCATATGTGTGCATTTGTGTGTGCACGTGTGCATGTGTGCTTGCATGCATGTGCCTGTGCATTTGTGTGTGCATGCACATGCGTGTGCATTTGTGTGTGCATGTGTGCATGTGTGCACATGTGCATGTACGTGCATGTGTGAATATGTGCATGCACGTGCGTGTGCATTTATGTGTGCACGTGTGCATGTGTGAATACGTGCTTGTGTGCATGTGTAATACGTGCGTGCATGCATGCACCAGGTGAATGCGGCGGACATGTTGGAGGATGCCATTGAGTATGTGCGCCACCTGCAGCGGCAGATCGAGGTAAGGCACGCAGGCATGTGCAGCAAGGGGTGGAGGTAGGGCAGGCACGTGCAGCCATCTGCTTGAGCACAGAAAGGGAGGGATATGGGGAGGAAGGGGTACGCAGTAAAGACACAGTTCACCAGAAGCTGGGGGAGGCGAGGGGGAGTGGGGGAGTGGTTGAAAGGTGTGGCAGGGAGGGAGAGGAGGGAGGGAGCGCAGGGAGGGACGAGAGGAGACAGGGAAAGGGGGCGCATGATAAGCATTCGGTTCACCATGGACGTTGGGTTGAGGGGTGTAAGGGAGAAATGATGGTGGAAAGCATGCATCAAGGATTACGCTGATACTGGTGCTTCCTGACAGCCTTGCTCATCTGCACGCACGTCAAGCACTCGTGCACTCCCCCCCGATCCAACTGACCTCGCCTCCCCCCCTCTCCCTGTCCACCCGCCCTCCACGGTGGCCTCAGGTGGTGCGCGCGCAGCACCCCGACGTGCACATCCAGCCCTTCGTGAGCCGCCTGGACAGCCAGCAGGGCGCGGGCAGGGTGGACGAGGCCGGGGCGGAGGCCACGGACTGGGATCCAGGGGCGCGAGGGGATGGGGAGGGTGAAGAGGAGGAGAGAGGAATTGTGAGGAACGGGGACGGTCCATCTGCAAGAGGGGGAGCAGGGGTTGAGGGTCGAATGGATGATGGTGGATTGGAGGCTGTTAAGGATGAGCATATGGGTCAAGACGCAAGGGACAGTAGAGAGAGATTAAGTGGGAGGGACAATGGTTTGGCCCTTTGTACAGATGCAAGTGACAATATCCACGCTGTGCCGCGCGATAGACTAACCCTCTCCTTTTCACAGTTGTAGCTTTTTGATGGGCATTGGCTGGTTTGTCTTTGTCTAAGAGGCATTGTTCGCTCTCATTGCAAGTGGTTAATACACCCACCATCAGCACCCGAATACTTGGGCGTTAAGCCCAAGGCCCAAATTACAACGGCCACACTAGTCGATAGGATACTTAAATAAGGAGCAGCACATAAGCGCCTCTTCACTACTGTGAGCCGCCACCTCGAGGCGCATGTTCTGGAGTCAGTACGTGCACACCATAGCGATGTGTTACATCTTGCCCGCTTGACATCCCGTCAAGGTCCATGTGCAGGACGGGGCTTACGACGGTTCCGTCCGCTTACTCTACGCATTTCCGAGCGCAATAGCAGATGGCCTGGAGTTTTTGCTTTCGTCTCCCTGTTCTCCAGCTAGCCTTTGCAAGTCAGTGTTCTTGCGGATTGGCGATCGACGACATGACAGTCCCACATCACGTTGTTCGGTGCCTACGGTTTGCAGTCGCCACGACGATCCAAGACACAGTCAAGTTCACGCTCATGAATATTGCGCACGATGCGGGGTTTGTTGTGACAGTGGAGGACACGACGCTGATCCCTCATCTGGGAGGAGGCACGCACGTGCTTGATGTCGTTGTTTGAGTTGGAGGGGTGGGGTGGGAGAGGGGGGGGGAGAAGGGGGGGGGGGGCGCGTGTGGGGGGATCAGGGGGACTCAAGGGAGTACAGGGGGGGGGACGACAGGAGGGGCCGGCTAACAGGGCAGGGAGAGGGGAGAGTGGGGCCGCTGTGGGTGGGAGGCAACGTGGAAAAAGGGGGAAGGTCACTGATAGAGTGGTTGGAGTGGAGGGGGGAGGGGAGACAGTACGTAAATTCCCTGTTGCGCGTAAGGGCACATGAGATGGCAGCAGGAGCAGGAGAAATAGAGGGGTGATTGGGTAGGGCTTGAGCTTGGGTGGGACAGTGTTCGATGGAGTGATAGGGGCAGGTGGGGGAGAGACAAGGGGGTTCGCGGTTGGGGCTTCACATGGGGAGGGGCTTGGGGTTGGAAGGGAGGTACCTGGGACAGAGAGGGCAAGGGAAACCACGCATGGGACAAGAGTGGCAAGCGGTGATATGTGGGGCTGGTTCTCAAACAGGCAGGCGAGTTGGGTCGGAGCGTGCAGCAGTGGCGGGAGGAACGGAGGCGGATAGGGTGCGTGAAGGATGGCTGACAGTTAGGACACAAGGAGGTATGGAGGCAGGGCAAGGGGGGTGGTAGTGACAGCAGCAGCAAGTGGGGGTGCTAGGAGCAAGTCGGGTGGAACACGTGACAGGGGGAGTAGGGGAGGAGATGAGAGGGGCTGCTCTGGTTGGAGCCCCCCAACTGGGACAGGGCGAGGTCTCGTGACAAGGGAATTCGGACAGGTTAGGGTGGGGGTAGGAGGGCTGGCAGCAGGGGCAATTGGGGGCAGGGGGGCGGTGCCAAGTGGGGGGGAGGAAGCAGCAGCACCTACGGTTGAGGGTTTGGGGTGGGTAGAGCTGAGCACACAAAACAGGAGGGGCAGGGGAGGAGCTGATGGGGGCAGCCTCTCAGGTTGGGAGGCTGGTTGGGGCTGAGCGAGTGATAGTGGCTGGGGAGATAAGGAGAGGTCTCGGTGGCCGGTAGTGACTCTTGTTTCTGACCAAAATGCCCCTTCTCCGTCAGTCTATCTCTACTCTTGTCGCTGCTGTTGCTGACTTTGCCTCCACCCGTCGCCTTGACTACTCCACTCAGATGGTCTCAGCTCCTGCCCGTCCTTCGTCCGTCTGGAGTGCTCCTGCCCTTGGCAGTGACGTCTGAGCGGCTTTCCTTGCGGCTGTTGCACCGCATCTCTATGCTATACTGCTACGTGAGAGTGAACCATACGCTCTTGGCATCCCAATGGTTTTCCTTCAAAAACCTCCTGTAATGCCGCGGTTGCCTCTGCCCCCAGTCCTTCGCCCATCTGCCACTCTCCCGTCCCTTCATCCTCTCCCCCCTCTTTAGTGCCCGTCTTAGCGCTGTCATCCATGCTCTCTACTCCCATCTTGCCTTCCGCGGCATGAAGGCTCAACCCTCCATGATCCGTCCTTCAAGCTGCTCCTCTATCATCTCCAGTGTCCTCTCCACTTTAGGGCCTCTCACTCTTCGCGGTGTCTCTCGCTGAACTCAATCTCCCGCTTGATCCCTTTCATCCTTATCGTTTCTAAAAGCCACTGCATCACATTCAGGTCGATGGCTCTGCCTAGGGCGGCTCTCCTTTGCTGCTCTGTCGCTAGGTGAGCCGCAAACGAGCGCTTCCAGCCCCAAAACGCGGAAGTGCAGCGGACACTCTTCATTTGCGAGCGCCGACGACCTATGATGTTTGCAACCCTCCCACGCCTTTGCTGGCTTGGTAATAGGCCCAGACAAGCGCAGCCACATAACCCGGCGGAAGGAAAACGATTGAAAGGAGCGTCTCTAGTCCCAAAACGCGGAAGGATCCGCACACGTGCAGGATGTGTAGCGGGCGCTCTTCATTCACGAGCGCCGATGACCGATGATGCTCGCAACCCTCCCATGTGCTTGCTAGCTTGGTAATAGGCCCAGAAAAGTGCAGCCACGTGACGCGGCGTAAGAAAAACGCTCGGAACGAGCGCTTCCACCCCTAAAACGCGAAAGGATCCGCACATGTGCAGAAAGTGCAGCGGGCGTTCTTCATTCGCGAGCGCCGATGACCGATGATGCTCGCAACCCTCCCATGCCCTTTCTGGCTTGGTAGTAGGCCCAGACAAGCGCAACCACGTGACCTGGCGGAAGAAAAAACGCTTGGAACGAGCGCTTCCAACCTCAAAACGCGAAAAGATCCGCACATGTGCAGGGAGTGCACCGGGCACTCTTAATTCGCGAGCGCCTATGACCGATGATATTTGCAACCCTCCCACACCATTGCTGGCTTGGTAATAGGCCCAGACAAGCGCAACCACATGACCCAGCGGAAGAAAAACGCTCGGAACAGGCGCTTCCAGCCCCAAAACGCGGAAGGATTTGAACATGTGCAGGAAGTGCAGCAGGCGCTTTTCATTCGTGAGCGCCGATGACCAATGATGCTCGCAACCCTCCCACGCACTTGCTGGCTTGAATATAGGCCCAAACAAGCGCAACCAAGTGACCTGGTGAAAGAAAAGCGCTCGAAGCGAGCACTTCCATCCCAAAAACGCGGAAGGATCCGCACGTGTGCAGGAAGTGCAGCAGGCGCTCTTCATTCGCGAGCGCCAATGACCGACGATGCTCGAAACCCTCCCACGCCCTTGCTGGCTTGGTAATAAGCCCAGACAAGTGCAGCCACGTGACCTGGCAGAAGAAAAACGCTAGGAACGAGCGCTTTCACCCCCAAAATGCAGAGGGATCCGCACATGTGCAGGAAGTGCAGCGAGCGGTGCTCATTCGCGAGCGCGGTTGACCGATGATGCTCGTAACCCTCACACGCCCTTGCTGGCTTGGTAATAGGCACAAACAAGCGCAGCCACGTAACCCAGCGGAAGAAAAACTCTCGGAACGAGCGCTTCTGGCCCCAAAACGCGGAACGATTCGCACATGTGCAGGAAGTGCAGCGGGTGCTCTTCATTCGCGAGATCGATAACCGATGGTGTCAGAATGTTATTATCTAGCCTGTAGTGGGGTGCTCTATATCGGGTACAACCCAGTTAGGGTTTGCTATATGTATCCCAACTGCTGCTAGTGAAACTCATTCTGTTCTTATTCCTCGTTCTAAATTTAACATGGTTTAAGAATAGGTCGACCCCCTTGGGTCAATCCTGTGGGTGGGCCCACCACCTAACTGCTTCCGTTGCTACTCTGTCTGTTGCACGCCCCGTGGCGTGCAACGTCTTCTTCCTGCTAAACCCTAAACCCATTTTTTTGTGTGTGTGTGTGTTTTTTTTTTTTTTTTTTTTTTTTTACGGTTTTCTGCCCGCCGTGCGCCCCGAGGCGCGCGGCGGTTTCCTGCTTTGTGCGGCAACCAAGGGGGCCCGCGCGTCGCCCTCCTCCCGTCGCCTCGTCGCGGTGCCCTCGGGACCCGCGCGCCGGCCCCTCCCGTCACTTCGTCGCGACGCTTTGGGGGCCCACGCGCAGGCCCCTCCCATCGCCTCGTCGCGGCGCTTTGGGGGCCCGCGCGCCGGCCCCTCCCGTCGCCTCGTCGCGGCGCTTTGGGGGTCCGCGCGCCGGCCCCTCCCGTCGCCTTGTCGCGGCGCCTTGGGGGCCCGCGTGCCGGCCCCTCCCGCCGCCTCGTCGCGGCGCCCTGGGGGCCCGCGCGCCGGCCCCAACCGTAGCCTCGTCGCGACGCCTTGGGGGTCCGCGAGCGGCCCCTCCCGTCGCACGTCGAGCCGCCCTCGTGGGCCCGTGCGCGGCCCCCCTCCCGTCACCCGCCGTGGCGCCCTCGGGGGTCCCGCGCCCTGCTTCTTTGTGGTGCCCTGGAGTGAGAAGAAACGAGAATGAATGAACTATGAATGAAGTGGGTACAAGTACTAACCCTAATTGGGTTGTACCCCCTATGGGATACCCCTCTACAGCATATACAAAAGCATAAGCTATAATGTTCTGACACACCCCCATAGGCAAAGTGGGGGAGAACAGGGGGTCACAAGTCCAGTCAAGCAAAGCAAAGCAAGGCAAGCTCAGGGTGGATCACAAAGTCACCACACATTCCGAGCACAAGTTCAAGGCCACAAGGCCAGTTCACATGCAGGAGTACATATACATATAAGGCTAGACAAGCAAGAGCAGGGATATATATATGTAACAGTACAAGCAAGGTCAAGAGGTGAGCAAGTGAGGCAAGACAGGGACAAGACCCAGCTGAGTGCAGAAGCGCTGATGATCACAAGGCGGAAGTGCCTTGGTGAAGACATCAGCAGTGTTGGCCTCAGAGGCCACGTACGCAAGCCGCAACTGTCCACGCTGCTGTAGCTCACGAGCAAAGAAGTAGCGGAGAGCAATGTGCTTTGTTCTGTGCTCCAGTCGCTGCTCTCGACACAAGGCCAGCATG